CGCTGATTTTTGTGGCAGCGTGAAGTGTTTGGGGTTCAGAGGTTGCGTCTTCTTGAGGATGAGGTGAAGGCAAACTTGGGCAGGCAGGGGAGGTGCGAGTTTGCAGGTGCCGAGGGACTACAGTGTTGCCGAGCGCTGGCTGAGCAGGTTGGCGTGAGGACCAAAGTGCCTTGTCTGCAAAGCATCCAGTAGGGCAAATAATGGGTTCAGCTATGCCAGGGAAGTGAAACCAGCTGTGCTTTCCCCTGCTTCTCCACTTTGCACTCAAGTGTGAGGCTTAGTTATCTTTTTGGGTGTGAACATTTGTTGAGGTCTTGGTCTTGTGTCTTATGCATAGGCTCTGAGTTTGCTTTGGCTGCTGGATGTGGGAGTTCAGTGGTGTTAGTAGTGCTTGCAGTGGTGTTGCAGTGTCTTGGAAGTGAGGACACTTGATTCCCCGCTTGCCTCACATCTGTTCCCATTCTTCCGCAGCTGCCCTAGGTAACTTTGCTCTCCGTTTCTGGTGCTAACAGAGTATTTGCAAAGACTTCTGGCCCATAGGTGCCTTTCCTTTCCGAGGTGCTTGAGATGATTTCTTAAATGGTGGAGCTTTGTTTAATACAGAACTCTTCATTCTTGTTTCTTCACTAAAAGGAAGAGGAGACTGTTGGTCTTGAATGGTATAGTTCTTCAACGGCCTTGGGAAAGAAAGCCAGCACTTTGTTTTATGTAGCCTAGCATCAGAGTGGTTGGCACAAGGCACTTGACTGTTTTTGACACCTTTCCCTAGATTACAGAATGATGCATCTTTAAATACTATTCTCCTTGGAACTGCTATAAAAAAACCTACAGAATTTAAATTGTTCACAGATGTTTATTTGTGTCCACAAAATCATTTTAAGAAAACTGAATTTGCGTTGTGGCTTTGTAGGTCACAGAGTTCATGTTTCTCATTGCTTTCTACAGTGGCTCTGCTATACCTTGGAGATACAAAAATGTCACGGGATAAGGTAATTGAGGGACTTTGCGGCTTGATTCCAGAATTAAACTTTGAAATGTGGACTTTTGACTAGCTCCTGAAAGTTCCAGCTGCTGGATCCTCTTTCTTTTAGTATCATGGTGTCCAAAAGCTTTCTTTGAACTTCATCTTGCAATTTTCAGCCTGTGATGTTTCACTGGCTCTTCGTGGGAATCATTTTTTGCTCTCATCCCATTTTTTGTGCAATGACTCCAGGACATTGTGGGATTCCCCTTGCAGATAACTGTCCTTTTTGTGCAAATAATCAGTTGTTCAGTTGGCTGTTTATTGCATGCGGGTGGAAATGGAAAGTAGCCCTGGGAAGCTATTTGCCTGTTCACTCAGTCGTGTTGTGGAAGCCAAGGAGAGGTAGACAAGAGCTTGATAGACTCAAGGAGTGCCAACGGAAGTACCTGCCAAAGGATTGCTTTCCGTTTCTCCCTGCTCTCTCATAGAGCAGTCCAGAAGAAGGATGTGTGTTTTCAGAGTCTCTTCTTCCCCTCGAGTTGCAGCTTCTGGCTCTCTCACGCAACCCTGATGGAAGTAGTAGTCAAAAGGCTCTTTCAGCTTGTGACAGCTTTTGGTGGATCACACTTCAGCTTGGGTATCTCAGTGCAGCATGATTGAACTAGTTCAGTCACTGTACCTGACATGTTCCTGCATTAGTAGCTGTGGCAGAAAAAAGGTGTAGAAAACTACACACTGCTTTTTCTTGCTAGGGAAACCCTGTGCTTGGAAGTCTTTTTGTGGTGCTCTTGCAAGTTTTTTCTCTTGCCTTTGTGATGCCTGAGCAGCACAGTGGGAATACTGCAGGGTGAAAGCCTGTGCTTTCAAAGGTCAAAAGTCAGTTGACATTGCTAATATATTCAGTCATCAGGCTGAAAAGATTAGCCATTGCTGTTTCACATTGAATCTTGCCTTTTATGCATCTGCCAGAGGTATTCCCAAACACTATACAAACCCTTTTAATTTATATCTGCAACAGCTGGACTCAAACATGTCAAATGAATACAAACTGCCATTGAAGAAACCAGGATTCAAGCAATTTTCAAGGAGTGGGAAGATGGAACTGTCGGTATCCTCATTGCTGCAGGGTAGAGGTACTCTGTGAAGTGACTGGGAAATAGATTTCTTGAGTATCACTTTTCACCACAGTGATTTTAGCTCAGATTTGTGAACTATATAAGTAAGTCTTAGAGGGCTTTTGCTTACGTGCTTTTTATGCATTTTCCTGAAGCGTTTGTCAAGCTGTTCTCTCTGGATCATCTGCTGCAACCGGTAATAAATATTTTTGCGTTAGAGTATAGTTAAGCTCTTCTTGAATTGATACAGATTTTTACTTTATTGTGAGCCCTGCTTATGTTCCAGAAGCGGTCATGAACAGTTTTGGAGAGAAGAGGGGAGAGACAGAAATAGCACTGAATAGGAGCAAGAACTTGATTAGTCAAGGAAGAAGTTGCAACTTTTCTATATTTGTTCACTGTTTTTCGAACATTAACTATGTTTAAGTAACTAATCTTCTAAGATATTGAGTAAGAATTATTTTCTATTTGAGCAAAATATTCGGATGGTAAAATAACTACTTGTTTCTTGACAATTCAGGATATGAATTGGATACTTTTTCAACTCGATATCACTACTACCTACCTGAACAGACTACTTTAAAAAGCATGCACATCTCGTGCTCTCATGAGAGATTATGATGTTTTATGCACATTGTAATGAATGGCTTTTATTTGTTCTTTTGTCTTGCATAGTTATTGACATCTCTTATTTTTCAGCTTCGAGCTCAGAACCAAGTACTGAAAAAAGGCGTTGTAGACGAGCAAGCAAACTCTGCTTCTCTGAAGGTAATCTCTAAAAACTACTTGTGTCATATGTATTAAGCTGTGATAAAGTAGGTAAATGGGAAGGGTAAATAGAAATACTTTTTACTCAAAGTATTGTGATTAAAAGAATAAAGAAGGAACTTGGTTTAGTAAAAGAATTTCTGTTCTGCAACTAGTCTTCATTGTTCTCTGTAGGTGCTGACTTTGTAAAAGTGGAGTGTTGCTTCTCAATGATTAATTTGTAGAATGAAGTATCTACTTGAGTGTGATCTGTGGGCAGCTCAAGGAAGTGAAACCAGCGTTTTAGTTTAAAAACAATACTTTTTGCCTCTTCAGTGTTCAAATAATGAAGAAAGCGATTGTTTTTTTTTAATGTGTCCTTATGATACTTTTTATTAAAAGTGAAAGTTTTAAAATTAAACTTTTTGGTCATTCAGGAGCAACTGAAGATGAAGGATCAATCACTGAGAAAACTGCAACAAGAAATGGACAGCTTGACCTTTCGAAATCAGCAACTTGCCAAGCGGGTGGAGTTACTTCAAGATGAGCTTGCATTAAGTGAAGCTAGGGGCAAGAAGAATAAGGTATGTGCTAAAAGCAAAAAAACTTTTTGCATAACTAGCAGATATCTGCTCCTCACCTGTCAGTGTCTTATCCAGATTTCTAGCAGTATTGCTTTGTGTCAAGGGTTGAGCTAAATGTTTTTGTCAGAACTTGTGTTCCTAACTGATGTGAGTGAAAATATGCACAAAACAGGTATTGATACATGTAATGCTTGCTAAGCACTTCTGTACTTTTCTTTCTAGTGTGTCAGCTAACTGATACTGAATTGCTATCTCCCTTTCCCAGATACTTATTTAGTGCTCAAATAGCTGGCAAAGATCTGGGAGCACTGTGATTAATCTACTGCTACAAAGAAAACCGATCACCCCTCATTTCCTATCCCCACCTCCTTGCTTTGTAATGTTGATGTCAATGGTTAACACTTCTAGCCTATGATTGTAGCTTTTCTAGGCAGCTGTTACGTGAATCTCATCAAATGCTTTGAAATCTAAATTTTTAGCTAGTATTCCTTACATTATTTCAAAATGACAGAATAATTTCAGTACTGAGATCTTTCTTTGCCAAAATGCTTGCTGATTAAACCTGGTTATAACCATGTTCTGTCTAAGATCAGCCATGTCTTCTGTAGGTAACATCAGAATTCCAGGGGTGGTGTGTCTGGACTTAAATAATTCTCAAGCATCCTTTTCTACCTTCCTCTTCTGAGGAAACTCCTCGTAATTACTGTCATCTTTTCTTTTTGGTTAGCTCACAAAATGCTGTAGCTATCAAGACTAACATTCAAGAAATCATTCAACTGATTAATAATATGATCGTCTTCCTTGCTTTTCCCTTAAACTCTTGTGCGTTTTTTTGTAATCCAGTTCCTTGACAAGAATAGTACCTCTGACTTGCATTATTGGAGCACCATAGTAGATTGTTCTTCAAAATGCAGTTTGACTCTTCTGTTCTTTTATTGCATGTTATGTAACTTATTGCTTTACTAGACATATTTCAAACTTGTGAAGGACCTCAGCCTGGCTTGAGTAGCTTTGCAAACCATTGCCACTGACTTTCTTTCCTGTTCAGCTGTCAGTATGCACAGTTCTGTATTTCTTATTTTTTTTTTAAGAAGTACTTGTAGTACCTTTTAAATATGTTCCCTTTAGTTTTACCTATAGGGTCTCACTAAGTACATACATTGTACTGAACATAGCCCTACTAAATTCCATGTCACCCTTACTTCAGAGGCTTGCCATTGTGAGACCATGTAAATCACATCTAAAACTATTTAGATTAAGATTTGGGTAGATTATCTGTGTCAGACTGCAATCCTTTTAGAAGAAGGTGAACACGTGCTCATATCTCAGATGTTATAGTTCGTAGGCTGACATCAAATGCAGAGGTGGCTTAGCTGTCCTAGCTGTCCCAAGCACTTGAAGTGTCGTGTTCAGTTTAAATGTAAACAGTCTCCCTTCTGTTTGATGATGGTATTACCTATGTTCAGCAGTGTAGTAGAGCAGAGGAGCAGCACGGGATTCACTGGTGGTCTCTGAATCTTTTGGACAAAACAGGTGAAAAATGAGGAAACAGTTGGCAGAGACATGTCTGTATTCTCAGGGTAGTTGGTGGACAGTGAAGACCCTGTGTTTTCCAGTGCCACCTTGTGCTACAGCCTGCCATGGGATAGTGCACTTTCCGTGATTCCCCTTGCCCCCCCCGCCAAAAACAGACCAGCTTACACCTGCACACTTGATGGGGGGAGGTGTGCCTTACACACAGCTCCCAAACCAAATAAGCCTGTGTGTGTAGGGTTTCATATTGCTGACTGCGTGGAGTCATGCAAGATTCAAATGATGTCAAATGGGCACCTGCCCATACAAGCAATTTCATGTGTGTGTGAATATGATACCTGAGTAGAGGCTTTCCCGAGTCCTTATCGAATTGGCATTCCACCACTATACTGTAACAATGGTGTGAAGGAAAAAGTGCTGCTTTTAGGCTCGTGCTGTGTGCGGTATGTGTACCTTTTGATGTATTAGTCAATGTAAATAAGATGTATACTTATGTGCCTCTATTGGGAATTAGTGATGGGAACTATTTTCAGATACTTGGAGCTGGGCTTTGGGATACCTCCAGAGACTTGGAGGTAATGAATGCACGTTTTCTTTTTTTTTAGAAAAGTGCAGAATCCTCATCTCAGTTGAGTCAAGAGCAGAAAAGTGTCTTCAATGAAGATCTTCAGAAGAAGATAGAAGAGAATGAACGACTACATATACTCGTGAGTGAAACTTTTTTAGCCTTTCTTTTTAGTACAGAAAACTGGTCACATGAACAAAGATAGAGAAAATAAAATGGCATCTGAAAGCTAGTGGTTTTATAAGCTTAGTTGTATGCAGAATAGTAGACTGGATCAGATAGGGTGTCTATAAAGATGTTCACTGGGTTAATGAGAAAGTATTTTGACTTCAGATTCTTAAGACAGTATGTGGAATAACTTGCATAATGTGTGTGTTTTCTCATTTAGATTTTTAACTTTTGGTGACACTTAGGTACTCTACTGAAAATAGCCATATAGTGGGTACTGGGTGGAAACTTCTTTTTAGTTCACTGTTTCAGAATTGCCTTAAAGCTTAAAGTATTTTCTGCAAGTTGCTGTAATTAAGTCAGGAATTACTTTACCAAAATGAATTGCATTTCACTTTGTTTTAGAAAATCGAGAAACACCTTATGGCTCAAGTTTAATTTCTCAGGTGTCTGCTATTAATCAGCAATATATTTAAGGAATGCTTGGTATGACAAAACTTTAATAAACACAAAGTACTTTGTTCCTGAATCTTGTCCCTGTAAATATCATGAAATTTCTATTTGTCTGAGAACTAGTACTTGTTATTAGCCTGGACTGGTTGATTAAATTGGTATAACTCATGGCACTAGATTCCATAAGTAAAATGAAGCTTTCATATGAGCTCTACTTTTCTTTCAGTTCTTTGAAGCAGATGAGCAGCACAAACGTTTAGAAGCGGAGCTGAGAACTAGACTTGAGGTTTTGGAAACTGATGCTGCCCAGCATCAAGCTGTGGTGGATGGTTTAACAAGGAAATACACAGATACCATAGAAAAGCTGCAGAATGATAAAGCCAAATTAGAAGTAAGGAATTTTTCTGTTGCTTGCAAGTTTGAAAAGTTTTGAAATGAAATGTCTTGCTGTGTCAGTACTTACATTGTGAGATTATCTTCTTGCATAAAGATCAAGTCTCAGACACTAGAAAGAGAAGCTAAGGACTGTAGGCTTCGAACCGAAGAATGGTAAGTGTTTTTATTTAATATAATGAAAAATTGATTATAAACAAATAACTACTGTAAAAGATTAGCTGGATTATTTTTAGAGTATAATACTTCAAAAAAAAAGTTGATAAAACTCAAAATACTGGGCAACAGCACATGAACATCAAGACTATGCAGGTCAGACCCCTTTTCCTTCTAAGTATGTAACTAGACAATTAATGGAATGCTATAAAAAGTAAAGAAACTACAGAACTTGTATGAAACAAAGGTATATGAGCTTTGTAAAAACAAAGCTTGGGTAAGGTATACTGAGAAAACTGACTGCAGAGAGTTTTCAAAAATCCCCCTCCACCTCAAAAGCTTCTTGAACAATTGCTTTTGCTTCAGGTATAACACACTTACCTAGAATATTTGAAAGTTTTTGTTGAAGAATTGTATTGTTATTTTTGGAATACCCTCATTATCTTGAAGACCAATCATAGAAAATAGGAAGAAGTTGAGGACTGTGGACCAAATCAATTCAGGGTGCACTTCTCTGAACTTCATTATTAAGATCCATTTTTTTTTAAAAGATACGTGCAGTATAGGTCTTTAATGTAATGGATAAAATGCATAGTGAATGATCAGATGAAGATTTCCTCCTTTCAAATGGTAACCTTGAAGTATATATTTTAATTATTTTGATAGATGTGAAGATACTTGAATTCCAATGACTCTCCTGTTATACAGGTCAGGGTTCCACTGAGAATGACTTGCAAAAGAGGATGAAAGCTGTGTTTCGCAGTTGTTTGCTTTTTTGTGGTGTTTGAAAAACAGTGTGGTCTTAATCTGCTACTATTCAGTTCAGAGCTTGTCTTTAATGTTCAATGACAACTGAGTGATTAATGTCATTGTAAGAAATTGTCACTACCGTTTCAGAAAGGAGGCTTTTGAAAAATAATAAAGCCTGACACTTCTTTATTTTAAACACTGAAATCGGTATCCAACGAACACCTGACAGAAGATGTCTCTGAGAGTACTGCTCTTCTGTTTTCCCCCCTCTTTCAGGGGAAGGGATCCATTTGTCTCTGACACCCATGCTTTATTCAGAAAAGCCAGGGGATATGAGACTTGTCAGTCTGCATGCCTTGAAAATTAAAGGGCAGAATGTAAATTAAAACTTATCAGACTACTTGTTTGCCATTCCTTTAGAGTACAAAAAGGAGACATCCGTACTTTTGCAATTTGAGTTTATTTTCTATCATGCCCAATGCTACTGTGGTTCATGCTGTACAGTTTCTATGGAATTTTGGAGCTGCTCTTCAAGGAAAATGTTTGTTAATGTGCATGAGCTACTTATTGGCCAGTTTCTTGATATCGTGCTTGTCTATTTTTTTAATTATTTTTCCTTGTTAGTCCCAATAAATTTCCACTTATCAAATGTTTTTGTAAAAAAGGAAAAAAACCTGTCACTTTGGCACCTTTCCCCCACCCTTCACTATATGTGCAGGAGTTCTAGATGTCAAACGGGAAGCAAAACAGTGAAGAATTTGGGGGCCTAAGTTGGGTAAGGTGTGGAATTTGGTCTGAATCAATATGCAATAATCTTTGACATATGTATATAATGCTGAGAGAGGTTTCTGATGCATTCTCAAGTGGTTTTTCTGTAGATCTGCTTCACTTGCATTTGATTGTATATATAGATGTAAACCCAAGTTATTATTACGAATATCATTAGCATAGGCTCTTGAGATGAACAGTAACCTAATTGCCAAGTCTTGTGGGAGTGGGCCATATGATAGCAATGTTTAAATATGGAGCTTTGAAAAACTTGTGAGGTATTTCTAATAGTGATGTGACATAACTGAGTTACCGACAACTCACTACTTGCATATTGGATTACTGCATCTGATATATAGTAACTAATTTAAAGGTCCTTTTGCATTCCCATTCAAATGCTAGTAGAAAAGAATACCTTCATACAGCTTATACAATAATTGCATAATTGGAAAATAATGTAAAGATTAATTCTGAAGAAAGTTGAGCTTCCCAAGACCAGAATTTAGGATTTACAACAGTTTATTGCATTTATTTGCAAGGGATTAAAATACAATGTCATATATTAAATATAAATAAAGGAGGAAAAATGATTCCTACTGTCTTATTTCTGTCTGATTCTATGAAGAGACAGATACCTGTAAAGTCAAGAGAGGCTTATGGTGAAATATGGTGAAGGTGATACAGATTAAATTTTAAAGGTTTACAATGAGTGTGTATGGTTTTTCGTTTGTCTTTGTTACTTAGCCAGCAACAGTTAAAGAATCTTCAAGCAGCTTTGGGCAGTAGACTGGAAGAATCCTTATGCATAATCAGTGAAAAAGTACCTTTTAATGACACAAGTACGTATTGCCTTGGTCTGGGTTTCTTGTTTAATTTTGGGTATCCATCTGGAGGAAGTATTCCTCATTAATTAAAATGTATTAGCTATAAGAAATTTTGGACGTCAGCACAGACACTTGGAGGTAATTGTAATAAATATTCATAATACTTGTCATAATGTTGTTCAGTGATCTTAATCAAGTTTTTATATATACCTCTAATGAAAATTAAAACCTTTGAAGGCTTTTGGGTAATTTGCCACTTGTCTTGCTTAGTGTTGACAGAACATTGTAAAAGGTGAAGAAACACTGCCAATTTATTGGTTTGTCCTCAAAGATTTCTTTAGTTACTCATCTCAGAGTATTATTTTGGGCAGGGCATATTCAAAAGTTACAGTAAGTTAAGATGGGGATAAACTAATGGCTGCAGAGAAATTGACTTAATGAGGCATTGCATCAATAATGGTCTACACTTAGTATCAGTGGGAAGTCTGTCAGTGTGTCTCATGTCTGACTACAGAACACCCAGACTAGTTCTTATCTGTGGTTTGTCTCAGACTTGTTCATCTTTTCTGGGGGAAAAAAAAAAAAAAAAACAAAAAACTTTGAATTTGGGGACTTTCACCTGAAGCAATCTTTTTTTCCTGCTTCCTTTCCAAGTGCTACTAGATAAACTGAAGTGCAGAGGATACCATGAAGTTAGGAGTGCTCAGCCTTTGCATTGCTTTGGTGCAAGAATTGGTTAGTACGTGCCAGATCGGTGCTGTGTACTGGGTGCTTTTGTAAATAGCTTGAATACGAGATTGTACTTGGGCAGGCCAGCAGTCTGTACTCTTCTGTCAGTGAGACTAGAATGGACCTGGAACAGTGAAAGAGCTGAAAGTAGTGGAGAAGGAACAGAGAAGCGAAAACAGGCTGTTGAATTTCTGGTAGGTTTTGTTGGTAACTTTTGCATTTTTCATTCAGTTTAAAACCTGATGACAATGTTTTGAATAGCCTTAGGTTCTCTAAAAGCTGACCTGGTGAAGTGCTGCAGGGATGAGCCTTCCAAATTCTCCAATGGCTTGGCAATCCAGCAAATCTTGGCTTAGAAACACAAGATCATCCTCTCTTTAGGAAATGTTGACTCTCGTATAGCATGTTATGCTTAGGTGTTGGTGCCTTGAATTGATACCCTTTTCACTTCTTCCCTCTTACAAAGATCACTTTGCCTGGCATCTGCTGCCTACTTACACTTCTCTGGCTTCTTTAGCTGATTTTTTTTTTTACAGTTGGTTATCATTGTAGCAAGAACTTAAATGCAAATAATTTATCTGTTCGCTCATCTACCATAGCATAATGTTTTTGCTGGTGTAGAAAACACTGCAAATAGTGGACAGATCTTTAGTGATAGAATAATGAGAGAAAATCAGGAAATGTTTATCTGCTATGGATTCCAACTGTCTTGCCATAGGCTCTGTAGCTGGTTTTAAGTGTAACCTAGCAGCTGCCTTCAGTTTCAGTAACAATCAAATGGCTTGTTATCTTTCCACTCTCAAAATCATGCTTAGCAGTCAACAAAAAAAGTTTTCTGAAGCACCTCCTTGTGAGTGGGATTTGATAATTTTGGACGCTTTGTTCTGAATACAACTGTCTCTTCCTGTGTGTTACTTGCTAAATGTGAATGATACAAAAGGAATAAGAAACTGTACATTTCCTTTGTGTGCAAATTTTAAACTAAATTGGTTATTATTCTGTTTAATTGAGGATGGATGTGATCCCTTTTAAATCTATAAGCCTTTGTAAGATGTTCTCTAGGTACAAATATCCCTCTACCTCTTTAAAAATTGTGCCCGCTTGCAATTGAATAATCATTCTAGTTGCTCTCTAACTGGAACACAATGCTGAAATATGTGCAGAGTACATCAGTACATACAGGAGCTTTTTGTTTAAACATGCAAGCTGTTAAATACAGTCATCTTATTTGACAGTCCCTGGAATGTAATTGAAATGTGAACATCATCTTGAATTCTTTAAGGTTTTTTTAAAAGATTTTCACTCTTGTTAGTGATGAGTACTGTTCTTTTGGGCAAGGGGATTCTGCTTTTACCTATCAAATTCAGGGTGTTCAGGTGGTTAAACTTGATTTAAAATCTGAGGCAAGTATGGAAGTGCTTTCTCTCCGTCTAGTCACAGTAACAGTTCTTAAGTGAAGATGTTTAGGCTGACTTTATTGAAGCCAATCTTTTTAGTTAATCTTCCTTTAAGGTTAATTTTTTACTTTACTTACTAATTTTACTTAATCTTAGTTGAGTGAATTTTACTATCTTTTTAGTTAATATTGCTTACATAAACTGTAGTATTACTGCAATCGAATTTTATATTTAAAAACCTCTCACTATTTACCAATAAGCGTGTCTTAAAAGAACGCTATTTAATAAGTGCATATAACTCCATTTTTGTTCTGTAGGATCTAATCAATACAATGCTCTGAATGTACCGTTGCACAACAGAAGATATCAGGTAAGCACTTTTTGTGACTTCATATGTAAAGATGCAACTTCCTACACAGATACCGAATAAAACCAACTATTTTAGTGACCCGAAATGTCAGAAGATAGCCTATCTTACTACTATCATGATATTCCAAGGGAATTTCTGTCCACACAGCCTGCGCCTTTCAACAGGTAGTCTACACTGTTCTTATGTCAAGGAGCCAAGTTGTCTGCTCACATCACTTCACCAGAGCTAATCCATTGACTACTGGCTGATGATCATTGTAGGTATTAACTCAGGCATGCCTTTCTAAAAAGAATGGCAAAAAGGCTTTAGTATTTGTCTCTTATTGAAGTTACACGAAATATTCTTTTACTAGGCCAACATGCAGTAAGTTAGAATTTGAACATTTAATTTTTAAAGTTGGTTAAAACTATGTTAGTTTAGAGGTCCTAAGATTTTTGTTGAAAAAAGGTAATTTTGGTATCTTAAATTCCTTTGCCCTCACACTGAGTTTCTTCAGTCACATCACTCAAGCCTCAAAGAATGTTTGCATTTGTAAACGATACACTGGTGTGTATGCTAGAATCCCATATTAGTTAATATTACTTGTCACTAGTCATAATCCTTTTGAGGAATAAATTCTGCATCTTTGAGAAATCTGCATGGTTCACTTATGTTTTATGGGATACTTCTTGCCAAAACACCTCTTACTTGCAGCCGTATCACCCTTATTAATGTAGATATTATTTAAAAAAGAAACAGTTTCTGGTCATTACTGTAATTTCATCAATTTCCTTGGGAATGTGGTTTACTCAGCATTCAAAAATGAGCATTAGTTTTCTGTGAATAGCTAAATATATTAAGGCTTTTTACAGTAGTAAATTGGATACCTTGATGCAGGCAATATTTTCCTGCTTTGCTGCCACTGAGGATGGACTCCACAGCACTCAGTGTTTTTTCTCTTTGCTTGTATGATATGTCTCAAACCTTCAAGTTGGTGCATTCAAGTGCCACTGTAGAAAGATTTCAAATAGCTGCTTTCTCCTTTCTTCAGAAGTGCCTATAAAGAGACCTTGTTCCTAATGTCTGCAGTGAGAACAGGCGACCTGCTGTCCAGTTTTGTGATGGAAGTAGCCTTAAGTCAGCCTGTTGTTAAGTACTAAGAAAAATCTGAATAACTGCATGGAGAATTTCTCCTGTTACTATTTTCTGCTATGTTAGCCAGCCTCATGCTTCAAGATCGGCAGTCTTGAAAATGTTCCAGGACAGATTTTTATGACTGATTTTGCCAGTGGAGGCAAAATGCTAGTGCATTGGCCCAAGCTGCAGTGTAAAGGACAGCAAAGCAGTAATATTGTCTGTTTTCTTTCCTTGTGTAGCTAATTGACATACACAAACTGAGTATGATGACTGCATTAATTACTCACCACCATCCCTGATGCGTAATCAAGATTCGCTTGATTTAACGCTTCATTGAAGCCTTAGGAATACATCTGTGAAGGATAAGTCATTCTTGGCTGAAATGTCACTTTAACCTTATTTTCTCCTCCATAAATCACAATAGAGTGTGGTTTTCTTCTGTGGTTGCCTTTGTTTTTTCAGTGTTCCATTTTGGATTAATTTCGTAGATACACCCCTGCTTCATTAAAGCCACAGAACAGCCTTATTCATTAGCAGCAGCTCGCTTCTGTCCAGGTGGGAGAATAAGAATTGAATGTTACTGGTTAGAGAAGCAGACACCTTTTATTCTGGGAGAAAAATCTAATTGGTTTTTACTAATTAAAGTTAAGTTTTCTTACAACCGGGTGTTAAAAATTTCTCATTATCACCACAGTGAAAGAACTGAGCTGTTGTCAGCAATTAGTCTGTTGGTCTTTACAAATCTTAATTTCAAAGATGGTTTCTGTAATTGTACTACTAACCTCTTAGTGTTGTTGTGGCCTGTAGTTTGAGAAACGCAGCAAAGGCAAAGCATCATCTATTGTATGAAATAAAAACATACTTTGTCATCATAGAAAGACATGCCCTTCTGAGCGGCATTGTAGTTTATTCATAAACTTTAAAAATGAAGTTAAAGGTAACTGCTGTGATGTATTTTAGGCTGAACTAGTAACCAGAAGGAAATTGTTGATAGCAATTTTTTTATCCAGCAATAGAATTTTTCTCATTTAAATAGGTACATGTCAAATATAATAATTTTATAACTGCCTTCACAGCTGAAGTTGCGAGACCTTGCTGGCCAGGCGCTGGCTTTTGTTCAAGAACTTGTAACAGCTCTTTTGAACTTCCATACATACACTGAGCAGAAGGTACAGATCTTTCCCATTGATTCTGCAACAGACACTATATCACCGTTAAATGAGAAGGTAAAGCTTACAGATTTCAGCTACAAGTATGTTCAATTATGTAGTATTTTGAGTGAATGATCTGTCATGCAAACTTCTGCCACCTTTACTGGAATGCTGTGAGTGTGTTCCTGAGAGGTAGCTTCTCCTGCATGAGAGATCTTTTCTATTGGGTGAATTCTCTGAATGTGCTCTGCTACAAGAGCAATATGACAGTCGAATCAAAGTTTTACGTGCTAAATTTGGCATTTGGCAAAGGTTCAGCTAACTATTTTAAAATATGTGAATATTGCACTGCTAAACAGATGATTGTCTTAATGCACTGGGGCATGGGAGATGTTGAGACAGAAGGTCTTGTGTTTAAAGTATTTAACTAACATGAAATAAACTGCATGTAAGGTTGGTTTATGAAGGAGAGAACTTTGATTCTGTTCCCATGTCAAAAACCCAATTTATAATCTGATTTTGGGCTATTTGTGTAAAGACCTTTCCTGTAAGTGTTCTGAAACTTCAAGTCTGTAAAGCATGTGGAAATTATTACAAGAAACATGACCTCCCTTTTTCCGTGCAACTCCATTGGAAGACTTTTCTGAGAGTATCATTCAGAGCTGTTAAGCTGCATCTTTTGATTTATTTCTTTCTTTCTATGCCATGAAGAATGAAAAAGAACTTCATGCACAAGGATTTGCATGGTGATGCGTTTACGTGTGCTTTGGAATAAAACTGCCTTAACATCAGAGTTGTTGACTTCATAGTGCAAGTGAATCTGTGTGCATTTAAATTGCTGGATGACAGTATGTTCTGATTCAGACTATAATTTCAATTTAGTAGCTTGTAGGGCTTGGACTTAAGCTACCAAGTTGGACGTGGTTTGCATTCATCAAACGGCTGCAATGCATGTAGTGGCAATGTTAATGATCGCAAAACTTTCCTGTTCTTGGGAGGACCTCTTTTAATGTCTTTGCAGGCAACAAATACGGCTGTGAAGATGTTGTATCCACCAGAGAAATCGCACTCTATTTGCCTTCTCGGTTGTTTCAACTATTTGAATCAAAAATACACTTTAACAGAGGTTCTGTGTAGATCTTGGTTTGAGAACATTTTCTTGCTCCTGCCACCAAATGTTCCCAAAATAGCACATCCTTCTTGTGAAAAACACGAGGCTTTGTCATCTTCCAAATTCTTTGGGGCAGGCACTGTGTCTCCTTGTTTGAAGTTCGAGTGTGGTGATCAGATTCTATAGACAGTACTGCAGTTTACATGAGGGGAATAAAATCAGGTTTCTTAGACATCACTTGTCATGCATTTTTTTTCTTAATGTCCTAGTTAACACTTTTTTGCTTTTCAGCAGAGAAGTGCTTTCACACAGCTGAAACATGCAACTTAATCAGAACTGTAATTTGATTCTCCTTTTCTATAATTGACTGTGATTCAAATTCAGGCTTTGTTTGTTTTCATAATTATGGCTCTTGTAGTCTACCCCATTGTATATTCATGACCTAATTGCCTCAGTTCATGCCACCTCTCAGGGCTTTTACCATGAATTTCCAGCAGTGAAGCATCTTTTATCGCTCACTGAAGCTGCTGTTGCTCCTGTATTTTTGAGTAATTTATCTGTTTGCTTGGCAAGTGTTCTCACTGTCATCTTGGCTCCTCCACTGGGTGGTTCAAAAACCTCCCCTTAAATGTGGTAGAAGAAATGAGACAAGTGTCAGGTAGTGGCTTAGCACACTTGCACTGATTTATTTTTCCCCAACTCCAGGTCTTGTCTGGCGCTTTCGAGCTATTTTCCCCACCAGACACTCAAAGTAGATGTGGACAATTCCCTTCCAGGTTCAAGTATTCCTTTTCTCTTTAAGTATTGGATTGCTGGGTTCTGCTGGGTCTTCAGCATCATGCCGCATAACTCCAGTCCTCTCTCTTGCAACACAAGTCAGGAGCATTCTGCATGTGTTATTTCTTCCTCCTTAGATTTAGGAGTTTTCCCTAATTCCATCCAGATTTGTACATGCATGAATGAGAGCTTGGCATCTCTCTCTTCTTGTTAACACTGTGTTACTGCACCATAATAATAATAAAAAAAAAATTAAAATTTCTCATACCCTATTTGCCTGGGATCTTTAGCTACATTGTGGTATAAATAATCAAAGGTGAAGGTATCTTTCTTTGGGGTAAAAGAAAAACCAAGATCACTTTTGACTGCCTATGTCAATCTGTGGAAAAAGCTTTTTGTAATACTGTGGCATCGAAATTGAAAGCTCATGGTACTGTTACTCTTAAATATAATCAAAATGTAAACACCTTTGTTCTTAGGTATACTTTTTTTGAAAGAGAAATTAGCCATAACATTTACTTTAGTGGTTTTTCATAAAGTCCAGCGGTTCTGTAAAGTCAAAGTTTCATAATTGCCCAAACCTGTCATAGTTGAAAGTAGGAATTCTCCCTTTGATTAGTTACAGCTCCATCCTTTGCATTGGCATAAGCATGCTTTGACCCATGTTGCAAACTGGACTGGAAACAGAAAGACTAAAATGTATCTCTCTTGCTCTCAGTTTTAAGTCTGTTTAGTTCTTTAGTTTGTGCTTGTGCACAGGGCAAGGCTGATAGGTGAACAACAGCAGGGAGAAAGGTAGGATAGTTTCTTTTGGTGGCTTAATGGATGCATGGATCTAGCCTTAATTTGATAGAGTTGAGCAAGGAATGCAAGGATGTTTATACTCAAAAAACAGGGGTTTGGTGTGCTCTGCATGGCAACTAAAGGAGATGGGGTGCTGTGGCAAAGCCCTAGATGGCATTTTGCCTGGACTTCCGTTGTCTTCACTGTTTCTCACTTCCCCCCAAGGTCTGTGTGTGCACCCTGTCGAGGAGGTGGCTATACATCACTTGAGTGTTATAGCTTATTATTAACGTTCTGGGCATTACTTAAGATGACAGGTGCTATGTTAAATTGCACTGTTCAATCATTAACTTGCAGCAGTTTGCAAGGGCTTTTGGCAAGCACCAGTTTAAAACCTCTCTGTGCTCAGTTCTCACAGTATCTTCATGAAAATGCTTTGTATGTTCGCCCTCTGGAGGAAGGAATGCTTCACTTGTTTGAGAGTATTACAGAAGATACTGTGACAGTCCTGGTAAGATTTCTTAGATTAAGATACTAAAATTTTCTTTTAGTATTGACACAGATTTTTATTTACAGAGCACAAATATTTAATGTGTTGTTTTTCCTTCCAGGAAACAGCTGTGAAATTGAAGACCTTCTCAGAACATTTAGCTTCATACTTATGCTTTTTAAGAAAGATTCTTCCTTACCAGTTAAAAAGGTACTTTTAATTTAATAGATTAAATTAAAAGGGAACTAAGTGTCAGATGACCAGCATTGGCAACATCTACAACTCAAATATTAAGTCAACCCTTAAAGCACCTTGACTTAAAAGCTGGAAATTTTTTCTTTGCCTGCTGGTTTTTGAGCCTATAGAATCACAGAACAGTTTGGGTTGGAAGGGTCATTTAAAGGTCATCTAGTCCAACCCCCCTGCAATGAGCAGGGACATCTTCAACTAGGTCAGGTTGCTCAGAGCCCTGTCCAACCTGGCCTGGAATGTTTCCAGGGATGGGGCATCTACCGCCTCTCTGGGCAACCTGTGCCAGTGTTTCACCACCCTCATTATAAAAAATGTCTTCCTCATATCTACTCTGAATCTACCATCTTTTAGTTTAAAACCATTACATCTCATCCTATCGCAACAGGTCGTGCTAAAAAGTCTGTCCCCATCTTTATTATAAGCCCCCTTTTAAGTACTGGAAGGCTGCAGTAAGGTCTCCCTGGAGCCTTGTCTTCTCTAGGCTGAACAACCCCAACTCTCTCAGCCTGTCCTCACAGGGGAGGTGTTCCAGCCCTCTGATCATTGTTGTGCCCTCCTCTGCACCCACTACAAGAGGTCCATGTCCTTCCTGTGCTGAGGG